ACTTGTACGCCGGGGTTTCGGCGTGAGCGTGTCGCGGTGCCTTTCGTGTAGGAAGCGCCATGGCCGCACCCTAGCACTAGTCCTCCACTGCGGCTCTTCCCCACCAGATTTTGTCTGGTGCCAAGCGCCGACTGCCGAGTGCTGTCAGGTCCTCAGGGCACTCGGGCCCCTCCCCAGCCTGCCGCCTTGAGGCCGTTTAGCACGCATTCATTCAGACTGCACGCCCCTTGTGTGCCCTCCATGACGTTAATGACACAGCTTAGTTTGGTCCAAATGACCCTCCACGGGGGCACGGCAGGGACCTGGCCATGCAGGAACGGTCACATCACTGCCGGCACCATAGTGTCTGTCCTCGCCGAGTGCTGGGACATAGGTTCTGAGCTCGCCCACTGTCTGGGCCCCCGGGGAACTGCCCGCTTTCTTGATGCCTCCTTGAGGACTAAATGCCAGTCCACTCATGCTGTCTGCGCGCGGAAGGAAGGGCTCAGACGCTACGGCCATCGTGAGAGGCAGTGGGGAGTTCTGCAGAGTGCTGGGGTGGAGGCTGGCCTCTGTGCAGCCCCTCACACACCCCTCTGCAGTGCGGTCACACTCCCACCGAGAGTACTGAGGGCAGAGCGTGGACGGCGTAGCCCTCGGCGTCAGCCATCCGTGCTGTTGGCCAGCCGGGCCCCTGGTCCCGTCACTGACCACCTTATTCCTTGGCCAGGGTACCTACATCTACTTCGACTACGAGAAGTGGGGCCAGCGGAAGAAGGAAGGCTTCACCTTCGAGTACCGCTACCTGGAGGACCGGGACCTCCAGTGACACTGGCCCTTTCTCCACCCACCCCTCCCCCGCATGCTGACCCCCCTGCCCAGGTGAGGGCCCAGGCCATGGGGCGCCCCTCTCCCACAGGAAGCAAGGAAGGGGCGGAGAGGTTTTCTCTTCCTCTAGCCCCACCCTGGGGGCCCGGGGGCGGGGACTGCCCCCTCCTCCCTCCCCAGAGAGGGACATTTTTTGGTAAACCTATTTTCATTTTGGAAAATATTTATGAATAAATAGTTTTATATGACGCCTGGCAGCAGCAGCCTCTCCTATATCCCCCACCAAAGTCAGGGAGCAAAGTAGGGTTCTTGCCGGCGGGGGGGGCCGGG